TTCTTCTTCTTCTTCTTCTTCTTCTTCTTCTTCTTCTTCTTCTTCTTCTTCTTCTTCTTCTTCTTCTTCTTCTTCTTTCTGTGTGTGTTACTGGGGATTGAACTCAGGACTTTGTGCTTGCCAGGCAAAGCGCTTATTCTATGAGCCATCTCGCTGGCTCTGGTCCTTATGTTTGTGCCACCTTGTTTTACATTATAGCTTTCTTATGTTCTTTCAGATCAAGAGTTTGCATCCTCTGGCTGTTTCTTCGTGCCCATTTGTTTTGGCTCCTTGTGACTCAGGGTGGGTCTGAGGCTGAGCTACTGCACTTAGCAAGGAAGGCAGTCAGGTTGCAAAGGTTCCTGCGTCTGCCAGCCAGCCACAAGTACCACATCGCACCAGTACTTCTGTCCATCTCTCCAGCCAATTATTTCTACTCAGGAGCACAAGATTCAGTTTTTAAAAAATCCTTTCAAAACTGTTTTTCAAAGTGTATTCTGCACATTTTTGATAAAATGCATTTGCAAATATTCTAATTTTGGCTACCTTAACTTCTAATCATGTTATGGTTTGGAAAGACTTTCTTTCTCTCTGAATTTATTCATTGATTATTTATTTATCTGGTGGGATTAAGATGATTTTATTTATTATACTTCCTCATAACTGTTAATTATTCTGATCTTCGAGTTGTTCCATATTTAACAAAGGAAACCTCTGTGACTTTAAGTATCTCTTGCGTTCTGGAGTTATGTTTAAGTTTGAAAAAAAGTTCCATCCAACCTTGAACTGCATTTTTCCTAGCACAGGTCTAGAATTACTTTTATTTATGTAACTCTGGGGCATTTAAGTGAATAATAACACCTGGAAACCAAGATCTTCCAGAGTATACAATGCTGCTAACTTCATCGCTTCTTCTGTGGTGGCTCTTACTTGCTGGTTTTGGATACGACACTGGTCAGTACAGGTTGCTAACCTTCTTCTCTGCTCCTACAGTTCCTCCTGTCATCCGTGTGTACCCAGAGAGCCAGGCCAGAGAGCCCGGAGTGACCGCGAGCCTCCGGTGTCACGCTGAAGGCATCCCAGACCCACAGCTCAGCTGGCTGAAGAACGGTGTGGACATCACGCCCAAGCTGTCCAAGCAGCTCACCCTGCAAGGTGTCTGTTCATGCATTCTTCCGCTTAAATTGCCATGAAGAATTTTGATGTTACAATTTATAACATATTTTACATTATTTGGGAAAAAAGAGAAATGAGTCATACTGGCAACAGAACATCATACATATAAGAAAGTTTACATCTAAGACACACTTGGAATAGTCCTTTAATACTTTAATACTCCAAATAATAGTTCTGTCATAATGATTAATTATGTCATTATCTTGGTTGTAAGTAAAATATTAAATTATATATGTTTAAAGGACTTATGAATTATAGTAGATGTGCTGAACAGAGTAATTGCATATAAAGACATTTTTGAAGTAACTTTTTAAATATTTAAGTAAGATATGAATTTTAGCGGTCTTTAATAATGTAGAAATTTAAATGAATATTTTCAACATATTTTGTAAATGAGATTAATAAGTAACTAAATGTTCCACAATTATTTCTTTTAAAGGTATTGATTTATTTGATTCCATATAGAAATATTCTGAAATGTTAATGTTCTGATGTGGATATTTGGTTAGTTCGCTACCTACATCACACAATTACAAATATGTAGAAAATGAAAGATTAATTTTGTAAGGCTAAATAATCAAGATAGTGCAAAAACAATTACGTATTATAAGCTTATTGTGCTGTCTTCGGGAAACACATGAATCTGATTTCCGTTGTCAGACACAGACGTAGGTCACTTCACCAAGCTGTTGGCTACATGGGCAGCCTTGCTGTGGTTCTTCTCTGTATTTCCATTCCTTCTATTCAAATTGGTAGTAATTGACACTTTTTTCATTATTTCTCTGAGTATAGATTCCTACATTATTCTACTTAAATCGTGGAAATGTCCATGAACCTTTTAAAATAAAATCTCCTCCCTTCCTCCTGCTCAGTGCTACATGGCGGCAGCACTGAGGCGGCACCACTCTTGCTCTTTGCATTCCGTGGTGGAGCCGCTGGCGACACAGTGCTCTCGTGGGTGAGACTGTGCTGCAGGCACTGATTAGAAAGTCAGCGGCCAGGGCTGGGCCAGTACGTGAATGAGGGGGAAGGAAAGTCCCATACAGTGCAGTTATTTTATTAACAAGCAAATAAAGAAAAATAGTGCAAGGAAACTAAAATCAGCAAATAGACAGGACCACTAGAGGTAGCTGAGAAGAAGAGCTTAAAAGAGAAGAGTTTCAAAAATGTTTGAGGTATAGAAAACATCAAAGAAGACCGTTAACATTTCCTTGTAGAATTTTAAAAAATTTCAGCAGCACTCAGTTTTTAGTGGTATTGGAAATGAAAGGGAGGTAGCAAGCATTTCAGGAAATGAAGAAAAGCCCACAGGCCAGAGCTGCCGGTGTGCGCGGCTGGGGCTGAGGGCGCAGGGCTCTTTCTAATTTATTTTTTGGGAGGAAGTACCAGAGGAAAGAACGGAGAGCTGCTGTGTCCAGAACACACGGACACTCATTTAGACCCACCCGTGTGGCTGCCTCTGTGCTGAAATGGCAGAGGTGAGGCGTGGCCAAGCAACTGGAGAGCCTGCCAAACCTGGGATTGCCTCCCTGGCTTTGTAGCAGCACCAAGACGCAGACTCACGTGTCACTGTTTTGAGTAGGGAGTTTCAACATCAGGGGCAACAGGTGGGAGTGCAGTGGGCATGAGGAAATGCCGGGAGGGGCCAGGCCGCTAGGAGCCCTGCTCTGGTCCACGCCCGCTGGCTCCCACACACCCCTCCGACCGAGGGCTGCTGGCCTCGAAAAGGCTCAGCCTCTCCACAGCTCAGCCTTCCAGCCTTGCTATACTCGCTGCCGCGTGTCCATAGAGGTCAGTGGTGGGAGGGGCGTGGAGCACAGGCAGGGACCCTGCACAGATGTGTCCAGGGAAGAGCAGAGGGAGAGAGCTGGACATGCGGCCACAACAAGCACAGAGCTTTCCTGGCCAGGTGTGTGCTCTCGCCAAGACAGGATGCGACTACTGCCTCCTGAGCCCGTTGGCGAACGCAGTCCCACCAATTTCCATGCCATCGTACAGTTCAGTTGATTTTGTTTCTGGCCAGAAGACAATTTTGTGTGAGGATCTCTCTCCCTCTTTCTGTCACCCTCAGAGCTACACAGTGCAAACTCAGTAATAATGGTATATTTGCATAACAGGGTTCACTTCCTTCTTAAGGTAGCGTCTTATGCACAGGTGAACAATATTTATTTTTTTAAATTTTTATTAAAACTTAGGAAAAAGTAGACTCTGACTAAGGTGCACTCGGAATAGTTACGCAACTTCTAATTACCCATGTGTGATGCTTCCCGTTAGTATAGGAACTAAGAAATGGCAGAGCAATAGTGTGGTGTGGGCCTGTGCTACCCGGCATTGGGCTTTCGGTAAAGGGATGAAGGCGTGGTTTACAGAACACTCGAATGCCCGGGCATAACCCTGCAGGCCTCCAAAGCATGAGGGGCGGGAGGACAGCAGCTTAATTAGGACAACGGAAGCGAGCCCTTTGCCCATGTCGCGGGAACGCCGTTCAGCCAGGCTGAGACTGCCACTGACCGTTTGCCTTGCCTGTGTTCCCAGCAAACGGCAGCGAAGTTCACATAAGCAACGTGCGGTATGAGGACACCGGTGCTTACACGTGCGTCGCGAAGAACGAAGCAGGCGTGGATGAAGACATCTCTTCTCTGTTTGTGGAAGATTCTGCGAGGAAGACGCGTATGTATTAAACAGAACAAAAGCATTCACGTCTGTATTCAACTTTATCGCTTCTTAAATTACTATAGTAAGGGCTGTGGATATACGCAGTGGCACATGGCCTGCCTGGCAAGCCTGAGGTCATGAGTTTGATTCCTAACAGAGGAAATAGGTACTATAGTCTCTTTTAGCTGTTCAAAAAGCCAAGCACTGGAAAACTGAAATTCACAATGCATTGAAGCAGCAATTTCATATGCAGAAAGGGTGGGAATCTTGCAAAACTAAAAAGAAATTTAAAGGTTTTTTTTAAGTTTGTGAAATTTTCTCTACCACACTGGAGTGATTTCACTTGTTTTCCAAGTGTACACAATGTGTTTCAAGACCTACTTTCCCTTTGCTCATGGAAGAATTTTAGTCCCTTAAGCTCCTTTCTCAAAATCCTACTTGGGTCATTCAAGGCCTGTAAGTATCGCACGCGGTAGCTGGCACAAGGCTGCATCTCTCTTCCTTGGTCAACTGTGTTTCTAGAAGCTGAACTGCAGCCATCCCTGCAGCAGGCCGCGCTTCCTGCTCCACAGGGTCATTGGTGACCCACTATGGCTGTCCTTAGGTGAATGGTAGAAATTCTGTACAGTCTGATTTTCTCCTGAAGTTCTAAGAAAAATGTGGAATTTTCTTTAATTGTTCAGAAATACTCATGTGCAGCACTTGCGCCTATGCAGGAAGCACAGTGCAACGCTGCTCCCTCGGTGCCCTGCAAGTAACAGAGCGGAGTGTTTGGGGTTCCATTTCCACTGAGGTTCTACGGCTTGTTTAGGTGGGCATATCCAAGTTCCTTCCTCTCAGCTACTCTGAGCTGTGAGGCGTCCTGGTGTGCCCTACTTTAACTGAAAGTGACCCCTGTCCCCCGTGAGCCCTGCGCCCATACATTTCAGTGTCTGTTAGTTACTTTGCCCCTTGACCTCTGGTTCGCTTCAGTTCCCATTACAGTTCCTGTTACTTCTGTTTCCCAGAAAGGGCTCGTCACACTGTTGCACCTTGTGAGGTGCAGTGCCAGAGGACGAGCCCTCTGCCTCTTCCTTCCACTTCGCCACCCCACATAACCCCCTGCCTGAGCCTTCAGGCTGATTTCTTTGGGAACATTCCCAGTGGGGACCTCTGGCATAACAAAGCTGACTCTTGCCTCCAAACCTCAGTACCACCATGTTGTTGGTCATGGTTCTGCTGTCACACTCAGATGCAAGATCTTGGCATGGAAGGGCTGGGATTCTGAGGATGGGCTGGATTTGGTTATAGCTGCATCACGTGGACTGCTGCGTCCCGAGATAGGCCTTCCTGGCTGCACCCGGGACAGGCTTCTTCCCTGCCCTTCGTGGCTACTGGGCGGGAGCTGGACCACTTGGAATCTGCCCCTTGTCCTCGCTCTACAGTTTGGTCTGTTATGCCTTGAGATTAATGTGTTTTAAAAGGGTTTGATATTTTGGAAACATCTAATTTACCAGGTCTATTTCTCTGCATTCAGATTTTGAATGTGGTTAAAGCAATGTTGTCCCAGAAGTCTTTTTATTTCTTTTTAAATCAACAAGTGCAAATAGGTATGAGTAGGTCTAGTCAGGCAGGAGAACTCTGTCCAGGTCACAACTGTCAAAGTATCATGACCAATATTTTGTCTAAATAAAGGTTATTGTAAGTAAATGTTTAAAAGAAGTTTTAAGTTAAAGAAATCTGATTTAATGACCTACATAAGGTACAAGATAGTTTTTTTCTTCCTTTGTATGAAGTACGTTCAAATATAGTGTTTTAGTTTCACAAATCTTATTGCATAAAACCAGCATTGGCGTTCCTCTTCCTGGAGTTACCCTCCCTTCCTTCAGCTGCTGAACGCAGTCAGAGTACTGGATGGCCCTCCCTGAGCGTGAGGCGAGCAGGGCGCGATGCCCGCCTCAGGTGCCTGCCTTCTGCATGCGTCGGCGTCTGCCGCATTCCCGGGTCAGCTTGAGGACCTTCCTCGCACCCAAAGCCAAAGTAGCTGTGAAAGGTAGAGTTAGAAGTACACTGAAGACAGGGAGGCAGACCTGGCAATGCGCCTACGGTACCCGGCAGGAGGACTTGGAGCTGCTCCGAAAAGCGCAGGAGTGGGCAGTGTGTTGACGCCAGGGAGTGTATTTTGAGAGATTAATCATAGTACGTCTTTGCTGTAATTTTCTAAAATTAAACATTCATGGTATCTGTAATTACCCTTAATATTTCTATGATCTTGCATTTTTTTCTTCTTTTAAAAACTAATTTTAGGAAGTAAAATGTTGAGCTTTGTGTTTTGTAGTGATATTTGTGAAACAATATAATTTCAATTCTATTCAGATTTTTAATGGTTATATATTTTCCTATATGTTTTCTAGGGACAATAAGAATATCTAACCACAATTTATTTTTTAAAAAACAATTTTTTGGAGGGCCGGACAAATAGCTCAGCAGATTGAAGCACCTGCAAGCAGGCGCAGGGGCTGGGGATTTGATCCCCGGGCCTGCCATGCAAGCCCTGCTCCGAGGGTGCACTGAGATGGTAATTAAGACTGGGCGTGGTGGCACGTGCCTGTAATCCCAGCTCTTAGGAGGCTGTAAACAGGCATATTGTTGTGAGTCTGATCTAGTAGTGAGACCCTGAACACCCTGAAGAACCTTCCCTAAAATATAAAAAAAAAAAAAGAAAAATAATTTTTGGTACGATGTCTCACTATGCAGCTCAGACTTGTAGTGATCCTCCTGCCTCAACCTCCCCAGTGCTGGGATTACAGGTGTGCACCACCATGCCCTGTTTCGATGGCTGGTATGGTGCCTCTGGTTTTCCGGGGCCAGCACAGCATGTGATACTAGGGATCACACCTGTGTCCTTGTGCTAGCTAGGCAGGCACCTAGACCACCAAACTATCTCCCCAGCCCCATTGTAGTTTAATTTATCAGTGGAGTATACAACATTCCTGAATGTAAAATTTTAGTAAAATTTTAAAGGAAAGGAGGCCAGGAAGATGGCTCAGTAGAATAAGCGCTTCCCTGGCAAGCGCAAGGATTTGAGTTCAATCCCTGGTTCTGAAAAGAAAAAAAAAAAATTAAAAGAAGGTCTAATAAAATTTTATTTATATACCTACATATGAACTGAATTTGATTAAATCTGAAGTTTCTGAAAATCATGTTTTAATTTTAATTGGCTTTATTTATTGTTTTGAACTCTTAAAGGTCAAAACAATGCATTTTAAGTACTTTTTGAGTACCTTCTGGGAGCACACTGTTAGAACCCCACACAATATTTTTAGAAGCTGTACCAGCAAGGATCTTACCACCCGCATTTCTGTAGCTTTCAGAATGATGCTACAAGGAAGAAACAGAAAAGAAAGGTCAGGGAATGACTTTTCTGGGCTGGAAATGGCATGGATGGGTGTGTGGACACTGTGTTGGTGCTCTACAGCCTTCCCTCGGCGAGGATGGACACTGTAGCCTCAGGAGGGCTCATGCCTGCTCACACCCCCCTCCACCTAGACGTGCAAGCACAGTTCTGAGGGGGAGTCACAAACTGCTTCTGACTGACGTGAACACCCTGAGGTTACTTGTTTTGTGTCCTGTGTGTTTACTAGCTGGTAGTTAATAATGCTTCACATATGTCTCTGAGGGCAAAGTGACAGCTGTAGAAAGTAATGTACAAAATGAAAATCAAGACAATATCAAGCAAATAAGCTGAGTGGAGTAATAAGAGGTACAGAGGGGCGTGCCGCGCCGTGCTGGCCCCGCCCCTGGGGTGAGCTGCGACAGCAATGGAGACCGGGCGTGGTGGCACACGCCTGTAATCCCAGCACTTGGGAGGCCAAAAACAGGAGGATCACTAGGAGTCTGATCTGTGGAGTGAGACCCTTTAAGTCATGTACCAAATACATTAAACAAAGAGGTACAGGAACACAGAAAGTGTGCAGGATACAATACATACACAAAGAACTAACTGTTGCAAGAGTAGAGTGTGGATCCTGCGGAAAGACGAGAGCTGCACAAACCTAAGAGCCCTGCAATTCAGAACACCAGGAGCCACTCTGAGATTTAGTTTCCCAATCTCTGAGACAGAATACACACTGAAACATTAGCATTTCTTTTTACAGTTTATATACAGAGCTTTATCGGAGCACTAGACATAGTTCTTTGACTTAGACTTATTTTATGAAAATAGTTTGTTATTCTAAAGTAGAAAGCTTGCCATTTAAAAAATATCTGGAAAACTTGGTAATTGCTAGAAATCAGAGTTTCCAAACTGAGAGATGAGTATAGGTATAAAAACAGATGCAAATATACATAATTATGGATATATTTTCATGTGTAGGACGGCTATATTATGTATACAAATATGCAATGTTATTTTTCATTGCATTTTTAAACTTAATTGACTCAGGCATAGTAAAGCACACCTGTGATCTCAGTAATCAGGAGGCTGAGGCAGGAAGATCACAAGTTCTAGCCCAGCTGGCCAACCTAGACGATATCGTCGCAAACTAAAAATTATCTGGGAATACAGCTCAGCGCAAGGCTCTGGGTTCACTACTCAATACCTACCCGCATACCCACCTAAACATAAAAGAAAGCGTTGGTAAGAGCATGCACACGTGTTCTTCAGTGTGGCTGATTGAGCTATGTTAACTGCCAGAGTTCACTTTGCTGCCTAGTCAGAGCAAATGCTGTGCTTCAGTCCCCTTCTACACGTACTCGAATTATACTCCTCCATTTACTAATTTCTCTGCGATACACGTTCTGTTTGCTTTTGGAAAGGCACAGTCTTGAATCTTGTGTCTACTGTGCAGCGCTGGGGGAGAGGCGCGAGTTCGCAGTGAGCCTGCCATGCGGACTGTCCTGCTCCAGACTCACAGTGCTCACTGGCGCTTCTCTACGTAGCGGAGCTTGCTCATCGTGCCCCTCGGCTGCCCCTGGCTTTCACTTCCCCGCAGTTCAGTGAGTGCAGAGCCCCTGGGACGGGTTCGTGTCTCGCC